GTGTGTGTGTGTGTGTGTGTGTGTGTGTGTGTGTGTGTGTGTGTGTGTAGGTGCTAGCAAGTATGTATGTATGTATGTATGTATGTATGTATACCGTGTTACATACCTGAATCAGAATTTACCTTTGGATCTACAGGGGTTGTGAGCCACCATGTGAGTGCTGGGAAGAGCAGCCAGTGCTCTTAATTGCTGAGCGATCTCTCTAGCCCCCTCTCTCCTTTCTTATGTCTCAGTTCCCTCATCTGTGATGTCTGGCAGCAGCTCTCTGAGTCAGTGGGTCGTTGTACTAAAATTAACTTCCCTGTGTGAAGTGCAGAGCCATCATCTGCTAAGAAGAAACCAGTGTGGTTATTGTGTTCAGTTTGACTTCTTGGGGTAGAGCGTGAGCTAGGTATTGCTATGTAGCTCTAGTTGGTCCAGAGCTCAGTATGTAGACCAGGCTAGTTTTGGACTCCTGATTTTCTTACCTGTAATTCCCGAGTGCTCAGATTGCAGCCAGGCCTCATCATGCCCAATTTATGAAGTCCTGAGGGTTGCTACATACCAGGCAACCACTCAGCCAACTGAACCAGCCCTCTAGTCTGTTAGACCATCCTGTGATCAAGAAATAACTTGTTCCTGAACCAAATCAAAACAAAAATTACCTAATGCAAATTTATGTATAGCCAAAGTGTGCTTCTTCCAGCCTTTTGGAAGCAGATTCTCAGTGATGTGAGTTAATGCTGGGTGGCCCCAGTCCCCTGACCCCAGACCACATAAATGGCATTCTGAGGACCTAGTGGTGGAGGAGAGTTGCTTTGACAGAGCCATAGCTGAAGCAGCCCTTCAGGGCCTCCATCACTGGAGCTCAACTCCTGGCCTCCATGAGTGTCTTGCAGCTCGGCTCCTGGCTTTCTTCTTAGCAGTAGTTTATGGATTTGAGCTGTGGGTCAACTCAGTTTCCCGGCTGTGGGCTTGTGTTTCCTAATGGTAAGCTTCATACCATTATCATCATCAGGTGTCAGAGTGCACCTGTCCTGTGCGTGCGTGCGTGCGTGCATGTGTGTCTGTCTGTCTGTCTGTATGCATGCGTGTGTGTGTGTGTGTCTGTGGTTGTTTCTCTGTGTGCATGTGTGTGCCTGCATGCAGGTATATGTGAATGTGCATGCGTGTTTGTGGATGCAAAGTCCCTTTGACTTCAGTAACAGCCATGCAGAGAAGGAACTCATGAACCTATAAGTTCACTCTGTACTGCTTTAGCTTATGGTAGAGTTGTCAGCCACCGCTTCCAGAACGTTCCCAGCTCACCTCCTCTCCAGCCACTCCTGGCTGTGGAAAATTGGGCCTAAAACCCATCATATCCCTGCATCTCTAATACCGTCCGCAAACCGCCTCAGTGAGCCAATGGCGGAGCTAAAGAGGCAGTTTGGGGTTGCTGCCGCTGGTGCTGCTGCTGCACCTCCACTGGGTCCTACTCCTAGGCCCAGAGCCTGGGAACTGGTGTCTTCGGTAAGGGCTCCACCAGGACAGGGGATCTAGGAGAGCCAGGTCTTGCCAGGAGGACAGGAAAATCTCCTCTATAAACTTTAGAAAATTCCTCAGAAAGTTCTGAAAATCTGTCACTGTTTGCTGTCTCCATTTGTCATTTTTCTTTCTTTTCTGTTTTAAAACATACATGATACTCAGGTGGCACAGGAGGAGGATTGCCACCAATCCAAGGCCGGAATTATCTATGCATAAGTTCTAGGCTAGCCAGGAGTACATAGAGAGGCCCTGCTCCATCCCACCCCTTCCTAAACATCACATACACACAGATACACTAGACATAACATTGACTATTGTGGGCTGCTGAGGCAGGGGGACCACAGATTTAAAGGCAGCATGGCCTATATGGTAAGATGTCATAATCACAAAAAGATGAAGGGAAAAAACACTTTAATTATTCCACTTAAAAATAATACTTGAGTTTATTCTTTGAAGATTGTGTGTGTCTGTGTCTGTCTGTCTGTCTGTCTGTCTATTCATATATTCTTGATCGGATCCATGTCATTTCCCTCCCCCTCCTTCACTCTCCCTATCTCTCTCTTTCCCACCTCCAGGTCCTTCCTGTTACTTCTTTAATCACCTTGAAGTACAGCTCGGTGGTGTTAGGTAGACACACTGTCCACCTCCGCTGTTTAGTTTCTGAACTCTCCATCTTCCCAGAGTGAAGATGCCCTTTACACAGCATCTTCACACAGGCACTGACTGACGTGGGCTCCTGGCGGCATCTCTGGAGTCTCCCAGTGCTTGTCCTTCTGTGGCTGCCTTATTTTACTCAGCATGGTGTCTGCTGTGTCAGAATCTCCATCCCTTTAGGGCTGAGATATAATTGTCTGGACAAGTACATCTTTTTTATCCTTTCGTCCTTGGAAGCCACTGGGTGATTGATGCTTTTGGGCAAGCAAGAATGGTAGCACTCTGAGCTTGGGCCCTGGGGTAACCGCTGCGGCCCCAGGCCTCATGAGTTGGCATCATCCAGCACTCGTGCTTGCTCTCTGAGTGACTGGTCATGTCTTCCGCTTTTAGTTGCCGTGCAGACCGTTTATGTGCAGCAGCCTGTCTCCTTCTATGACCGCCCCGTCCAGATGTGCTGTCCTTCCTGCAGCAAGATGATCGTGACCCAGCTGTCCTACAATGCCGGAGCCCTCACCTGGCTGTCCTGTGGCAGTCTGTGTCTGCTGGGGTGAGTGTACTGCTCCTGGGCCTCTGGAGGGTGCCCACTCTGGGGCTATTGGTCTTCAGACTGGAAACTTAGCTGTGGTGGGGGCTGTCCTGTGAGTTGTAGGAATGCGTGTATGTGTGTGGGAATCTGTGTGCATGACTGTAGAGGCCAAGGTTAGCCTCCTGTTTGTCTTGTCTGTTAAGACAAGGTCTCTCAGTGCTCTTAGACCTGCGAAAGAAGTTAGGGTGGCTGAATAGTAACCCCCATAGACCCTGACTAACTCACCAACCTCAGGATTATAAACTGATACCATCATGCCTTTCTTTTTTTCTCCCCTCCCTCCCTCCTTCCTTCCTTCCCTTCCTCCCTCCCTCCCTCCCTCTTTCATTTTCTCTTGTGTGTGTGTGTGTGTGTGTGCATGCGTGCGCACACATGGACATGTACCATGGCACACATGTCAAGGTTAGAGGACAGCTCTCAGTGAATAGTTCCTTCATTCATGTGGTTCAGGGAATTGAACTCAGGTCCTCATGCTTACAAGACAGACTCTTGTCTGACTGAATTATCCCCAGAGACCTGGAGGAATTTTCTTCCCCTTCCCCTTCCCCTTCCCCTTTCCCATTCCCTTTCCCCTTCCCTTTTCCCCTTCCCCTTCCCCTTCCCCTTCCCCTTCCCCTTCCCCTTCCCCTTCCCCTTCTCCTTCTTCTGTTTTTATGGTGCTGAGGTCAGAACTCGGGACGTCAGCATGCTAGGCTAGCGCCTGTCTGTGTACTTCAGCCTGGTTGAGGATGTTGAAGGCTGAGCACAGTGGTATGTTCTGGAATCCCTGCACCAACAGGAGGAGGCAAAGGCAGGAGGGATGAACATTTGAGGGCCGCCTGGGTTACGGAGTGAGACCCTGTCTCAGTAAAACACAAAGCAGGGCCGGCAGGTAGCTCAGCAGGTAAGTGTGCTTGCAGCCAAGCCTCATAGGCTGAGCTCGATTCCCAGAACCTACACAGTGGAAAGAAAGACTCGACTCCCCAAAAGTTGTCCTCAGACCTCCACATGTGTGCCATGACACATAGGTATTCACTCATACAGAATGAATGAATGAATGAGTGAATGAATGAATGAATGAATGAATGAGTGAATGAATGAATGAGTGAGTGAGTGAGTGAGCAAGCGAGCGAGTGAATGTAAAATTAAAGGTGAAGTATCTGGAGCAATACATCTAGTGTCTACTTTCTAGATGTTTATGGCAACCCCTTCCTGACAGGGAAACTACTAAAAATTTCCCTTGCAGCTGCAGTCCCCCCCCCCAAGTGGAAACTCGCTCTTAAAATATATAAATCACATATAAATCTCTGGGCTGTGTTCCTGTAGCACCCACAGAGCAGCTGTTCACATCTGGAGAGGGCAAGACCCTCAGGCTTCTTGTCCTAGAATTTCATGACCTAAATAATCTTTGCTTTGTCTCTAAGAGAGCTTCAAATGGTTTATACATTGACACACGTTAAGGCCTCACCCAGGTATGCTTCTCCTTATAGCCTCTGGTATTTTCTAATTGCCAGTACAGGGGGTTTACATAAATATTTATGTCTGCACTGAAAGAGGTTCTAGTCTCTGTTCTGGGAGAGAAATCTGAGCAAAACCAATTGCAGTTTTTCCTAAAGCAGGTAATAGTGGGAGCCCCCTCACCTGTGAACCCCTTCACCCATGAGCCCCCTCACCCGTGAGACCCCCTCACCCATGAACCCTCACCTGTGAGACCCCCTCACCCGTGAACCCTCACCCGTGAACCCTCACCCTTGAACCCCCTCACCCGTGAACCCTCACCCGTGAACCCCCTTACCCATGAGCCACTTGGCTACAGCTGCGTGGTTTTTCCTGGACAAGCAGAGACATCTACTTTTGGGTGACTAACTTACATCTCACAGTCTGCTTGTGACTTTAGGTGGGAAGGAACAATATTGTTCTTCCTTATTTCAAAGATGTAGAGCCTTAGAGAGTGTTCTCTAGGGAAGAAGTAGAGAAGTAGGCCTCTGGGCCTGCCCTTCTCAGTCTTCCTATGCAGCTCCACTGTGGACTCTTGCCTCCACTCTCTGCAGAAAAGACTTAAATACAGGTCCACTGCTAACTAGGTCTGCTGTTTCAGCACTTAGGGGTGAGGTAGGATCACAAGCTCAGGGCCGGTCTGAACAGCTGAGTGAGACAGTGTCCACAGGGTGAATTAAAGCTGTGCGTAGTGGTACACGCCTGCACTCTCATGCCTGAGATTAAGGCCAGCCTCTGCCACATAGTGGGTTTGGGCTGAGACCCTGTTTCCAAAAACAAAAGTAAGATGACTGCTGGGGATGTGGCAGAGTACGGAGTGGTGGGAGGCTTGCCCAGCATCTGTGAGGCCTAGTTTCCATCCTCAGTATCACAAAGTGCTGCCAGCCCAATACTGCACATCTGTCACCCTAGTCTTGGAAGACAAAACAAGAAGATGCAAGTTCAAGACCAGCTTGGACCACACAGTAAGATGGACACCCTACACACACACACACACACACACACACACACACACACACACACACACA